ACCTACATAAGGTAGGATTAAGTATTATAAGAATATATAGGGTCAGTTCAGGGAGTCTGCCTCCTAGGTCAAAAAAGTCAAGATACACCCAGGAGAGCGCAACCGTTATAAAAACAGGCAGAAATTTGATTGCACTCTCCAAAGCTGTCTTAACATTTTTGACCACACCTTGCAGACATCCCTGAGTCTGGTAATGTATGGAAGTTATCTCCACTTATGAGTAATATCTAACAGTAGGTCTGTAAGATCTGACTGGTGTTTTTCTTCCATTTCTGTAGCATAAACAAAGGCTGACAGATCAGTTGCATGGCGTCTGTCCTTAGACACCGATCCCCATTTCAAAATTTGGAAAGGGACGAGCCGGTCTGGGGCAGTTGAGCCATCCTTACTGATCCGGCTGGACCACTGTCCCGTCTGGCTGGTTCTGAAGGGGCCACTAAACACCCCCCACTGCAGAGGATCTGACCTTCAGGGCCAGGTTGGGCCCCCCCAAGCAGCCCTCTTGAAGGAATGGAGTGGTGCAGGGTACTTGGGAGGGGGGTACAAAGGCCCAGAAGCCTTTGAACCTCTGGCCCAGAAAGTCCCGACTGCTGCAGCGGGTTGGGGGGGGGCACGGTGGTCTTCCGCCGGGCCCTCTGGTGAGGGGAAAGCGCCTCTGTCCCGGCTCCCCCAGCTCCCCCCCCCGCCTTTGTGCCCCGTCAGCACCGCTTTGCGAAGAGGGCATCCGAGCTGGCGCTAATCGGATCCAGCAGCTGGGATTGGAGGGCAGGGTTGCCACAGCAACCGGCCCCTGGAGAAGCCATCCCCGACAGACTCTTTTGTCTAGGCCTCTCTCGGGCCGGCCAGCCAGCGCCGCCCCTGGAGAAGAAAGGCTCGGGAGGACGATGAGCGAGCGGGGAGCTGCAGGGCGCCGAGAGGGGCCGGGCCAGCGGGGCGCCCACTGAGCAGCTGCCACAATAGCCCCCACCAGGGGCTGCCACTCATGCTTAGTGCTCGGACGCCTGAGCTCGGCAGAGCCGGGCCACTAATCCTTCCTCCCGCCCTGAGTTTCCATGGACACATGAGCCGGCTAGGACAGCCTCGGCTGTCCTCAGGGCAGGCCTGGGGACTCCGTTGGCTGGGCTGCCCTCCGCCTCTTCCCTGCCGCCCTTCCTGAAACGCCGTTTGCCTGGTCTCGGTGGTGCAGGGCCCGTCCTCGTGGCCGGAATGTGGCCCTCTTTTCTCTTGTCACTCCACGCCGGCCAGAGCTTTGCTGGAGTCTTCTCTTTTCCGCTTTGGATTTGGGAGCCATTGCATTCATTGCACCCCACTGTCTTCTTCAAGACCTCCTGGCCTGCCCTTGGCTCTCGGGCTGCGAAGTGTTTCCGGAGGCACCACAGCCCAGAGGAGACGGCCAGTTTGGGGTACGGGTTAAGGCACCAGGCTAGAAAATGGGAAACCTGAAGTTCTAGTTTTGCAAGGAAATGGCAAACAGTTTCCAAAAACTTTTGCACGGAAAGCCTCACTTGTGACCAGGAGTCAACACTGACTTAAAGCCCTTTAAAAAAAAGGGGGGGGGGGCTCAGAGGTTGGTGGTGGGCCTGAATTTCAAAATCTGGACTCTGGCAGCCTTGCTGAGACCACAAATTAGGAATTGTTGTGGGAAAGCTGAAGCCGAAATGTTCAGCCCGAGGGCACCCTTTGCATAGCATTCCTGGGTTTGCAACAGTTGTTTGGGGTCCAAGGAGCACCAGTCCCTGCCACACACAAGGCCTGGCATGAGATGCCCTGAGCTATTAAAAATTTCCCTCCAGCCAGCAGAGATTTTCCCGCTGGTGTGCCTGCTGGTAAACTGGATAATCTTCTTTCCTCTTTGCCCGTGTTCCGGTGTCCGGCGTGCAGGAGGCTCAGAAGCTTCCAACCCTGATTTTGCTGGGCCTGGCTCTTGACTGCAGGCCTGATCCGAACAGAAGCTCCATTGTCTGCCTTCCACCTCCCCTCACCCCAGCCGGCCGGACTGCGTCATTCAGGAGAGCCGTTCGGCTATTCTGTATGAGAGTCAGGCAGGGGCAGATTAAGGAGTTCACGCTCCTGACTTGTCGGCTGCCACGTAAGACCCAGGTCTTGACTTTTTGGGATGCCTTTCGTGGAAGGCTGGGTGGCCAGTCAGCTGTGGGGTTGGTCCAGTGGACCCTTTGCAGGACCCTGGCCAGAATTAGCAGCCTTTTCATGGTCACAGTAGCTCCCTGGCTCCAGATTTTAAATTCTCCCTCCCGCTTTTTTTGTCAAGGTTCTCATATCCTGCTTATCTCATTTATACAGATGAGCTCAATTTGGTTACTGGTAGCTCTTGTTTGTTCTCCCCCCCCCCCCGCTGCATATTGTTCAAATTCAACCCATTTGGTTAGTTTGTGATTCAATATATTGTGCCAAACTAAAACTGGGTTAATTCGCTACCCACGTTAAGTGGATTGTGTGTTTACAGAAATAGGAATATGACCTACTTAAGTCCAAGATTAAGGGGTGGGATGGGGGGAACAAAAAAAAAAAAGGAGTTTTCTCACTTGCTACAACACCTACGTTGTCTCTCACTTCCCAACTGGTGCTCTGAGGTTCCATTAACCTAGTTGTGGGGAATTCTGAAACTATGCCCAAATATTTGGTTTGTTTGTTGCAGTGGCTTCCTCGGTGACTGCACCTATCTCAGCTTGGCTGGCTTCCAAAGAGCTAAGGAGAAATAGACCTGGTTAGGGTTTGGATGGGAGGCCACCAGGAAACACCAGGGCTATAGAATCAAGTCAAAAAAAAATGTTCTGGAAGAAAACAGTAGCCAATGCACCTTGTTGCCAAGAAAACTATACAGATAAGTCAGATGTCTCTTACCTTTGGGGTCTCCTCAAGTGGGCAAGATTGATGGTCTCTCAGCAGCCCTGCGAGGTGGTTGAGCTAAGCCCAAAATCAGCTCATGAGCTCTGTGACTAATAGTGGAATTGAACAAGACTTGGAATTGATCGGTTGCGTGCCCCCCCGTGGAGTTCATTGCTAAGAAGGTGCGATGGTGCCGCATCGTTTTGAAATAAGGTCAGCAGCTCAGATTCAAGGCTGTGGGAAAGCATCCCACCACCAGCCCTTCAGCACAGCCTTTCTCCAGTTGCAGATTCTGACATAGGTGGGTACCAGCCTGGGCTAGTCTTGCAGAGCTGCCCCTTTGGCTGTAGCCTGAGGAGAGTCGGGAGACCCCTATCCTGCAAGGAAGCCGCCATTGCCATCTCCAGATGACTCCCAGGCGACCCGGCGGCCATTTTGTACCTTTGGTAGTGTTCATGGCTTGTACAGTTTATTTATGAGACTTATATACCGCTTTAAGTGCAAGCACTCTCTAAGCGGTGTACACCAGTAAGCAATGTATATATATATATATATATTTACATTGCCCCCAATAATCTGGGTTCTCATTTTACCTACCCCAGAAGGATGGAAGGCTGAGTCAACCTTGAGCCGGTGAGATTTGAACCGCTGACCTGCTGAACACAGTCAGCTAAAGTGGCCTGCAGTACTGCACTCTAACTGCTGCGTGTATTGTGCAAATTCAGAAAAATTGGGCTCATTGAGTAAATTATGGTCCGGTTACCAGTTTTAACTGCTTTATGCAATCACAGGTAATGCCATCTGGCATGAAGAACAGCCGAGTCTGGGCTGTGTAAAGTATGAAGATCGATATAGCGTGCCTAATTTTTTTTAGCTTCTGACTGGCAGATAACCGTGGGCAGGGTTATCCCAGTTCACCTGTCCTGGGAATAGGAGCTGTCTTGTGCCCCTCTGTTGCAGCCTCCCGCAGCCTTGACTGTTGTCCATGTTGGATGAGCACGATGGGAGTTGCAGTCCCAAACACTGGGATGGGCTTCGGTGAGGGAAGGCTGAATCGATCAACATTTGTATCCTGGGGACTGTCCTGCCATTTCCCCAACCAATAGGCAAACTTTTCTGGGCTGATGACATGGCTTTAGGTCCCTTTAAAGCAGGGGTAGGCAACCTTGGCTCTTTTATGACTCGTGGACTTCAACTCCCAGAATTCCTCAGCCAGCATGGGGGAACTACGGCCCCTTCATGACTCGTGGACTTCAACTCCCAGAATTCCACAGCCAGCATGGCTCAGCTTGGAAACCTCTCCCTTTCCCCTCAGCATGGCTGGCTCAGGAATTCTGGGAGTTGAAGTCCACGAGTGATAAAAGAGCCAAGGTTGCCTACCCCTGCTTTAAACCAATGAGGGGGAAACTTCTAAGGAGCTGATGCTGCACTAGCCAACATTTTATTACATTTGGAATCCCTGATTCCCAAGGCTGTGTGATCTCACACCGGAGAATTTGTTCTCTCTTCAACCTACTAGCAATCTTGCAATTATCAAGTATATCTTACCACCAGCTGCGTCCTGCCTGCCCACGGCAGGCCATCTTTTATCACCTTTGCTGCTGTGGCTGGATTTTTCACACCTGCCCAGAATAATGAGTAAAATCTCCTTTCCTCAAAGGTTTAGAGATGAGTAAGTCATCAGGAGGAAAGTTTGCATTCGTGATGGATTGCACACAGTCCTCCGAGGCTGAAATGGTTGGTAGCTCTGACGCTTTCCTTGTCAAGGGACAGACGGAAACCCAGCGCTTTCTGCCAGTTCTGGATTTAAGCGATACGGATGACCGGTGGGGTTCCTGGATCTGTGCAGATGGGGGGTTGAGGAGCTTACCACTCTGGTTTTCTAGGAACATCTCCAGATGTTCAAGACCTGTTGGCATTGCCGGGAAAGCTTTTCCAGTCTCCGCTTCTTCCTCTGTGCTTAAAACTATAATAGGTAATTAAATAGCTGATCACTTCTATTTTCTACTAATGCCCCAAATATGTTATCTAATAGATTATTTTAGCCTAACATTGAAGTTATTCCTGCCAATTATTTTATTTTTATTTTACTCTTCTGCCCCCAACAGCCACCCATTTCACCCCGCCCATCTGGAGTATTTTGTTTCTTGCAGGTGGACGATGCCATGCTGATGTTTGACAAGACAACTAATCGGCACCGAGGTGAGAGAGACTGAGTGCTTGGATCTGGGGGGGGGGCTGCCCTGCGGTGTGGCCCCTTCCAGCACCTCCCATCCCTAATCAAGCGCTTTCACCCACTGTGGGGGGCCTCCCTCAGGTGATGCAAGCCTGGGATAAGTGGGGCTCCATGAAAGAGAGTCTAAGAAGACTAGATAGATAGATAGATAGATAGATAGATAGATAGATAGATAGATAGATAGGAAAGAGTAGAGTAGAGTAGAGTAGAGTAGAGTAGAGTAGAGTAGAGTAGAAATGGATGGATGGATTGATAGATGATAGATAGATAGATAGATAGATAGATAGATAGATAGATAGATAGATAGATAGATAGATAGATAGATAACCTTTATTGCCATTTTTTTACTATGGGCACATTGGCACACATTAAAAATGAAATTTAGTTGCTTGCTCTCAAAGTGTACACATGCATATTCAAACATGCTATGTACAACATGTATAAATCCACACCCTTACATATAAATAACGTATAAATATTCATCACAGTCCATCTTAGATAACCTTTATTGCCATTTTTTTTTACTGTGGGCACATTGGCACACATTAAAAATGAAATTTAGTTGCTTGCTCTCAAAGTGTACACATGCATATTCAAACATGCTATGTACAACATGTATAAACCCACACCCTTACATATAAATAACGTATAAATATTCATCACAGTCCATCTTGAATACATAATGGAAAGAGGAAACGTTAGTCTGACCACCTGCAGGATCTATTGAAGTGGTTTGGGGCAGATATCTATCCAAGACCCCCAGGGAAGAGGGACCTGCAGCCTATTCCACTGTTGACAACTTGGGAAAATCTTTGAAATCCTTCCCAGTAGCTTCAACCTATCCGTTCTGGTCCTGCCCTCAGGGACAGCAGAGAAAAACTCAAGTTGGGGAAGGCTGACAATCTTTCAGATAGTTATGTCTGCTGTATATGTCCTCTCGGTTGTCTTTTTTTGCAGACTGTTATACCCAGATGCGTTAACGGTTCCTCAGAGGACTTGGTTTCCTCCACCATCTTGGCTGGCCTCCTCTGGCCTTGATCCAAATTGTCCTGTTTGCTCTCAGAACCAAATCAGAGACTGGTCTGATCAGGATAGAACAGAGGGAGCGTTATTTCCCTGGATCTGGGCTCTCTACTTCTGTCAATGCCTCTCAAGATAGCACTTGCCCTTTCAGCAGCCGTATCCGACTGCTGAGTCACGGTCAAGCTGTGATTACAAGAATGCCCAGATCCTTATCCCAGGTCCGAACTGCCAGGCCAAATTGTCTCCATCCTGTCCTTGTGGCGAACCTATTTGCTACCCAGATGTACATTTCTTCCTGTTGAATTTCATTCTTTTAGTTCTGACCCACTCTCAGAGCCTGGCCTGTCTGAGCAATTTTGGACCTTCTCTTTTGCCAAAGGCCGCCATCTTTCCCACAATGCCTTCTTCTTCTGGTCCAGGTTTGCAAGGTGACTTTCCATGATTTTCTTCCACCTCTTGTCAAGAGTCCCACATGATCTCAGAAGTGAGTGCTATTATGGAGGAAGAGTCCAAGCTGTTCACAGATGGGACCATCTGCTTAGCCAGTTTTTCCCTTCTTTCCTCTCTTCTTCCTGATCCGCATCCTTTGAAAGAAAGAATAAAGAAATCACCCCCAACGTCTTCCTGGACCATTTTGCACAGGAATTCCATAGTCCCTTGAAGTATTTTCATGAGAATAGACTGGAATGGAATAGGAATAGGAATGGAAGAATAGAATAGAATAGAATAGAATAGAATAGAATAGAATAGAATAGAATAGAATAGAATAGAATAGAATAGAATAGAATAGAATAGAATAGAACAACAGAATAAAATAGAACAGAACAGAACAGAACAGAAATAGGAATAGAAGAATAGAATAGAATAGAATAGAATAGAATAGAATAGAATAGAATAGAATAGAATAGAATAGAACAGAACAATCTGAAAGGGACCTTGGAGGTCTTCTAGTCCAGCCCCGTGCTCAAGCAGGAGAACCTATACCACCTCAGACAAGTGACTGTCTAGCCTCTTCTTAAAGATCTCCAGTGATGGGGCACCACAATTTCTGAAGGCCAGCTGATCCACTGGTTAACTGTCCTCACTGTCAAGAAGTTTCTCCTTAATTCCAGGTTGCTTCTCTCTTTGATCAGTTTCCAACCCTTGTTTCTCGTCCTTCCCTCTGGTGCTTTGGAGAAGAATTTGACCCCCTCTTCTTTGTGGCAGCCCCTCAAATACTGGAGCGGTGCTATCATGTCTCCCCTGTTTCTTATTTTCTTTAGAACAACCAAACCCAAGTCTTGCAGCCGTCCTTCGTATGTTTTAGTCTCCAGGCTTGGATCATCTTAGTTGCTCTTTGATTTTAGTTGCTCTTCTCTGGTTGTGTCATTGTTCTCACACGGTGGGAAGGAAAGGATATTTGTCAGTGGGCTTAAAAACTTTTGTGAGTCCACCTCATCCTGAGTGTGTGACCCAACGAAGGCAACGCACACCAACAGGCTGCAGCTTCAGTCTTTTGCAACAGAGAGTCTCTGATGACTATCAGCAGCTCTGCTTCCCTCATTTCAGGGCAGAAGCAGGAACTCTTCCCTTTGTACAACTTCTGGAGGCCTCTTACTCAGACCAAAATCTTATGTCAGCTGTTCTTTGTCCAAGGCTTTAGAGACATCCTCTTTGACCGGCCCTGGGATTTTCTGCAGCTCCAAAGAATACACCTCCTTCTCTATGGGTTTGTTTCTTGGTGCCATTTTGCCTCCACTGGGGCTTCCTGTGTCCAGTCCAAAAATTCTTCATGGAGTGGGTAGTTTACTTTTGCCTCTAGCCCCTTCCCCTTCTCTTCCAGGTGAGCAATCAGCCTTGCAGCATGTACACTTCATGCGGCCTTCAGACAGGAAAGTAAACCCACCGCATTCCCTGCAGGTCACATGAACGGATCTCGCTGTCCACAATCTTCTTTCAACAACAAGCGACAAGGGGAAAAAAAAAATATTTCCCTTGTTGCACTTTTCCCGGCCCTCCTTTTTCATTCGCTCTGCGACCTGGTGCTCTGGGCAGTTGCTTCCTTATATGTCCACTGAAGCTGCCTCAACTGGGTCAGTAGCAAGCAATGCTCCCATCAGTCAGCAGCTCTTAGGGAAGAATCAGCAGGAGTTGTCAGTCAGCAGTCAGTCTCCTTTTTTCTGCCCCTTCCTTCTCCTCAGTTGAACTCCTGTGCCAGGCTCCTGCTCACTTGCCCATTTCTCTAGCCTTAAGTGGCACTGATGGGATGTATGAAGCTTCTGCACCCTCCTGATGCTTGGAAGATCAGAAGCAGAACAGACCTGCCTTCATCAAAGACGCCACCGACTTTTCCTCACCTGGACTGGCTCTCGTGCACCACGAGCCCCTTTTCCCCCAAATTTTGCTGCCCTAGCAAAGATGTAGATCTTTCTTTTTATAGCGTTTCTGCCTGCAGATGTTCTCTTTGCTTTTATGCCTGCCCCGTGCTCATTCATCAGCTATTATTGGCTTTATATAATGTAATGTATTGTGTAGATTGAGCAAATAAATAGGTAACTGGAACAGAGCGGGTTTGTATTACAGGCCAGATTCTGCCACCCCTTTTCCACTGCCCAGTCTCCCCCATTACGCTGCGCTTTAACCAGAGAAATGCAGCTCTGGCTTCCCCTCTTCTTGGGGGACCCCGTGCCCCACTTTCCAGGCTTCTGTGCTCTGTTCTTTTTTCCTGGGTCCTCATCCTTTCACTGGTTCCTGCCTTCCTGGCTGCCATCCACCGGGGCTTAGGGAAATCGGAGCTGCTGCTGGGATTTGCAGCCAGGATTTTTAAAAGTAACTAAACTTAGCCATAGTAACTGGGGGGCAGCTGAGGCTTGCGGTGAAAGGCTGACCAGGCCTGCTCTGTCTTGCCTGAAGCTGCAGAAAGGAAGCATTGGCTGGTCAAGCATTGCCTGAAGCTGCAGAAAGGAAGCATTGGCTGGTCATGATGGGGAGGTGGCGATGCCCCAGTTGGGTGGAAAGTGGGCGATCTCTCTCAGTTGCCATCTCTGTTATCTCTCCATAGCTCTCTTCTGCCGGGGGAGCCTTTGAAATGATAGGGATAGTAGGAAGAGCTAGGAAGAGTAGGCAAGAGAGAGAGAAGGACTGCGGATGTCCATGTGTTGTGGTTCCGGCTAATGAAACATTCCAAAGAACTTCCAGGCATTTATTTTCCTGAAAGTCTTTTATTGTTACAAAATGTCGGCACAGGCACAACGGAGGGATGCTAGGATCTAAGTTCTCTTCCTCTGAGCAGTTAAATGATCAGCCTGTTCCCTCCCTAAATTAACCGTCATATCTCACATTATCCAATTAGTGTGAAGGTCAAATGTTTTCTTCCTCTCTCTTTCCAGGGCTTTACCCCCAACCCCCCTTCTGCTCTGTATTAACTCCATAATTACCAGACAATTCTACATATTGTCAAAAGCAAGAATATACAATATTTGCAGCGTTGACACCATGTTCCTCAGCTCTTTTCCAGTCATGGTTTGTTTACATCTCATAGAAATGGCATTTTCCTCTACTGGCCAGTCCAACTTCAGGTTGGCCACCCTTCCAGGTCAAAAACACAGTGGATAGGACAGTGATGGCGAACCTTTTAGAGACCGAGTGCCCAAACTGCAACCCAAAACCCACTTATGCATCGTCGAGTGCTGGGTGGGTGTGGCCCATTGGGTGGGCGTGGCCCATTGGGTGGGCATGGCTGCGGTGGTAACAGCAGACTGGGTGGGACTAAGAAGTTCAATCAATCAATTCCAACTTTGCAAGGTCTTTTTTTCCCGCGAGAAGTTGAAATTGACTGATTGAACCTTTTTTTTTTTTGCACACGGCAGTGGAGGCCTAAAGCGAAAAGGTTTTATAAAACCCAGCTGAAAGCCTCGGACTGGGGCGACGGCGCGTGTGCCCACAGAGTGCCGCCTCTGGCACCTGTGCCATGGGTTTGCCACCACTGGGATAGGATAACATTCCTGTTGCCTTTCCGGTTTTGAAGTGGGCCAGCCTGGTGGCTATTTTAAGCCCACGACAGCTTGTGAAAGGGACAAGAGCCCTTCAGCTGGAGCCCCGGAGGGCCTTATGGTGCCTCTTGACTTGGCTGAGCTGGGTTTTCTTCTTCTTCTTCTCTCTTTCAGGCTTTGGGTTTGTCACCTTCGAAAGCGAAGACATCGTGGAGAAAGTCTGCGAGATTCACTTCCATGAGATCAACAACAAAATGGTGAGGGGAAGGAAAATTGGGTTTGGGTCGATGGGATGGATGGATGGCGTCCCACGCTGCTGGGCCTTTCCTCCCTCCGGGCCTGAGGGTCAGGCGGCCTTTGCAAGTTGAGCCGGGGCCCTCCGTGGTGGTCTTGCTGTCTTACTGATGAGTCTGGCCAAGTTTAGCGTCACAGAATGGGGGGTCTCACTCAGAGGGACGTCGAGTGACCACACGCACCAGGGGATTCTTCTTCTGCTGCCCGGAAATCAGCTTTGTCCCGTCAGGTATTCCCCAGACGTGTGGAATTCAATACCCAGAATTCTTAGCAACAGTTGTGCTCCTTGGGGAATTCTGGGCATTGGTCTATCCGTCTGAAAGTGCAAAGCTGAAACTTAATTTTTCCCCCCAATCCTGTGCAGCATTTCTGAGGCAAAGGGCAGAGAAGGAAGGCGAAGTTAAAATGTTTTCTACCTGTCTCCATAGTACAGTGGTGGCGAACCTTTTAGAGCCCGAGTACCCAAACTGCAACCCAAAACCCACTTATGTATCACTGGGTGCCGGGTGGGGGTGGCTATGGTGGAAATGGTAGACTGGGTGGGCGTGGCCATGTTGGGCGTGGCCAACTCGATGTTGCTCTGGCGGGTGGGGCAGTGGGCAGGAGGGCATCTTCCTCAGCGGGTGGGGGGCATGGGGGGAGACTCTTGAGCCCCGCAGTTCTTCCGAGGGGGAGAGGAGGAGCTATGCTGGGAATGGGGCTCCTCGTGCCTTCCGCTGCCCACCTGCGCTCTTCTGCCGAAGATGCCGCGGGTCTGCTTGCCTGGCAGGACAGGGGCACGCTCGCGCATGGGGATGCACATAGGACTGCTGCCTCCTTTCCTGTGCCTGCTTCCACCGAAAGTTGCTCCCTTTATAGCCTCTTGCCTATTCCCAGACTGCGCATGTACGGAGAGCTGCGCATGTGCAGCTCTGCGGAAAGCTGCGCATGCACGGAGAGGAGGAGGGAGCAGCTCGCCCCAACAATGGCTCGCATGCCACCAGAGACAGCTTCGCGTGCTGCCTCTGGCACGCGTGCCATAGGTTCGCCGCCACGGCCATAGTATCTACCTCGCTGGTTCAATCTGGCAGGGCTGGCACACTCTGGGTTCCATCAATTAAGCAGTGCCATCTAGGATCACACCCTTGAAGTGAATCTTCTCTGTAGCATCTCCTGCCCTCTGGAATCGTGTGCCCGCTGAGATCCAGATGGCCCCACCCCACTGGTATTATTTCCGAGCCCTGAAGATGTGGCTCTTCAGCCAGGCCAGATGATTCTTTTCCGTGTGCCCATCTGGATTTGCCCAGCTCTGCTCTTTCGGCCTGTCTCCTTTTTGTGGTTTTGTATTGTTCCTAATTTTAAGTGTTCTTCACCGCTCATAAACTGCCCAGTCACTGGGAGTGAGGCGGCATATAAATTTAATAAATTATGATTACTAATAGAGGAATGTGACGTAATTAGGGGAGAATGTTGTGTGTTTTGTTGCAAGGGGCCCATTTATTGTTGTCCAGGAGCAACATTCAGGAGGGTGCCTTGCAATAGCAATAAAATCTGGCACCCTCTTTTATAGGATTGCCTTAGTCCAGTGTTTCTCAACCTTGACCATTTTAAGGCATGTGGACTTCAACTCCCAGAATTCCACAGCCAGCAATGCTGGCTGTGGAATTCTGGGAGTTGAAGTCCACATGCCTTAAAATGGCCAAGGTTGAGAAACACTGCCTTAGTCTGACTTCCTGTTGTGTTTGGTGCCAGGTGGAATGTAAAAAAGCTCAGCCAAAGGAAGTGATGTCGCCCACCGGCTCCGCCAGGGGACGCTCCCGCGTGATGCCCTACGGAATGGACGCCTTCATGCTGGGCATTGGCATGTTGGGTAAGAGGAGAAAGCACTGCCCTCTTCTGGAAGAACCAGAGAACTGCACCCCCTCTTCTGGAAGAACCGCCCTCTTCTGGAAGAACCAGAGAACTGCAGGCACAATTGCAGAGAAAGGACCACACGCTCCATCCTCTGTGCCTTCAAATTAAAATTGGATGAAGATGGAGAGGGGGGGCTAGGGCGGTGTTTTTATGGGGCCTTCTGAGATTTTCTTCTTTCTTCGACAATAGGATACCCGGGTTTCCAGGCAGCCACCTACACAAGCCGGAGCTACACCAGCATTGCACCTGGGTATACCTACCAGTTTCCCGGTATGTCTTTCTTTCTCTAATTTTGTGCTGCTTTTGTTGTCCCAAAGGTAGAATCTGATGGACAAACATCTCAACCATTCTTTGCAAATTGTCCTTCTTTTCTCTGGGGGGGGGGGATATGAAATGCCTCCCCTAAAGCTGAGGTGAAATAGGAAAGGAATTGTATTTTTTCTTTTGTCAGGTTCTGGTTAAATTCTTCCAGGGGCTCTCAGAGGTCATCTAGTTCAGTCTTTCTCAACCTCAGCCACTTTTAAGACACTCCCAACGTCCAGAATTCCCCAGCCAGCATGCTAATGGACTTTTAAGACCATGCTGACTGGGGAATTCTGGGAGTTGAAGTCCACCCACAGCATTAAGTAGCTAAGATTGAGAAACACTGATCTAATTAAACTTTTCTGCAAGATTTACCAAAGCAATTGGATGGTGGCCTTCCTTTACTTAATTGTCACCTTCGGACAATTGGACACTCCCCTCTTTTGGAGTCTCTGCTTCTGCAGCTGCTTCCCCCCCCCCCCGAGCTGAGAAGCCTCTTTTCCCAGAGTGACTGCCTTCCCAAAACGGAGTATTTTTTTTACCAAGCTTAAAGTGCCAGAGGCATGAGAGGAAATCCTGCAGGAGGAGCCAAATCCTCTAAATAAACTGCAGAGGGCTGAAGCACTTAAAGTGCACCCTTCGGCCTACAATTTTCTCTAAAGTGTGCATGCTTTTCAAGGTCAGCGTCTTGCATTTTGGGGTGCATTTATGAACAAAGAGAGGCACGGAAGGCAGGGGAGAGCAATGTCCTGGCTTGCCCATTACTTCCTCTTTGAGTGACATCCGTATCCCGTCCTCTCCAGCCTTAAATTCAGTCTGAGCAGACCAAGAGTTTTCACAAAGAACCGTGAAAGCTGACGACAGCACTTGACCCTTCTAGCAATGCCCCCCTTGGAAGCTGGCGGTGGGCGTGCCTTCAGGCAGTCTCTCTGAGGATTTCCATTTCCTGTGCTTGCCTTTGCGTCCCTTCCTCTTCCTCTTCCTCCTCCACCCTTCCCTCTGTCTCAGGGGGGGACCTGATGGAGCATCCTAAGTTGTCTTGCCTTTCCTTTTTAGAATTCCGGGTAGAACGGACCCCCCTTCCGAGTGCCCCTGTTCTCTCTGAGCTTACAGGTCAGTCCCACCGGTTTTCTCCGTGCAACAGCTGGAAGAGAAGGGCGGGTGGGTTGTGCTTTCCTTGCCTTGCAGCTTTGGGAGCCAGGAGCTGCTGGTAGGTAGGCAGGCAGGCTTGTGCTAGGTTCTCTGGCTTCATCATCCTCAGGACGAGGGTTTGGGGAGTCGAGAAGCTGCTGATGGAGAGGAACAGATGCATGCTGGGACATTTGTTCCCCACTCCACAGTGGCTCCCTGATGGGGGGGGGAAGCATTCTCACCCCCTTACATAAAAGGAGAAACCCGAGTCCCTCCATCTCATAACCATCCGCTGTTTTCTGCTCTTTACCCTCTGTTAAAACCATGATTGAGCTGTTGAGTAACTGTTGCCTTTTGGCTCATCCTTCCATGGCTGAGTACCTGGTTCTGCAGGTGAGAGCCGCTGAGGAGAGCCGTATCCCGGAAGCCACGGCAAACAAATGGATCAGGAAAGGATGTTGGCTCTCCAGATGTGGCTGTTGTAGGAGGAGAGCCAGATTACTCTTTGAGGGCAAAAAAAAAACCAGGAGGCTGATAGCATCTTTTCTAGCATTTGGATGGAAAGGCACAACTCAACTTTGTTAGTCAGATATGATGAGGGATTCTGGGAATTGCAGCCTCAAAATACCTGGGAAGCACCAGCTTCTCCTTCAGAGGATTGTGCAAAATGTTGTTTTTCCCCCCCGAAACGATGTTGAATGTGAAACTTCACAAAGTTTCCTGCTTTGGGTGTAAATGCTCTGCTTCGAATATTGGCATAGCCCTGCCCCCCCTCCACGGTGCGTTCTGAACCCCCCAACTTTTCCAGCATGCTCAAAGTGCTCATTTTGCATTCAGACAATATTTTGGAGGTTACACAGAGCTCCCCGCTTGAAAGAGTTGCACGCCCCTCGTCCACAGGCACGTCTTTCACAGGCTGCCTTTCAAACGCCCCTTTGGAGGAGTTTGTTCTTTTCAAAAAAGTGCCTGTGTGAGATCCATCCCAAACATCTGGAAGGGAGAAGCCAGAAGCAGTGGACTTCCTCCTTCACAGCTGGACTCGAAAGGAAAACGTCGTCTTTCTGAATCATCGAAGCCAGCGGTTCTCAACCTGTGGGTCGGGACCCCATTTGGGGCCGAACGACCATTTCACGGGGGTCGCCAAACAACGCAGTCCGCCATTTTTTCCCCCCTTTTCCTTAGCTGTGCTCCTCCCTTTTATTCTATTGGCTTTTGAAAGCCAATCGAAGAGACTCTCTTGAATAGAGTGTCATTCTATTGGCTTTCAAAAGCCAATAGGAATTGTCCAGGCTGTCTCTGTCCTGCTGAGCCCGCCAAAAGTCCCATTCTGCAAACGGTGCTGCACCAGTTGAGTAGTCCTTGACTTACGACCGGTTGGGGGTCGCGGCATTAAAAAGGTTGAGAACCACTGATCTAAGCTCACGACTAACAAAGAGAAGGACTAGGGGTGACACGATACTGTCTTCCGGTATGTGAGGGGTGTCACGGAGAAGAGGGGGTCAGCCTATCTTGCAAAGCACCAGAGGGCAAGACAAGAAGTAGTAGGTGGAAGCTTGTTAAAGAGAGATCTAACCTATAACAATCGATCAATGGAGCGGCCTGCCTTCAAAAGCTGTGGCTGGTCCATCACTGGAGGTTTTCAAGAAGAGACTGGCTAACCGTTTGTCCAGAATGGTGCAGGACAGGGGTAGGCAACCTTGGCTCTTTTATGACTCCTGGACTTCAACTCCCAGAATTCCTGAGCCAGCTAAGCTTCAAACCACAAGCTCCAACCGTGAAAAGAATTGTTATCAAAATAGTTTTAGGAGATTGGCAGGAAGAGGGGTCACCTAATCCATAAGCGAGACAGTCATCACACCGGTGGAGTGCAGCTGTTGTATAAATTTGGCTTCTCTACAGCTGCAAAATGGATCAAAGAAGAGCGGGGAGAATATGGCGCTCTCAGATTTTCGTGATGAAAGAAAGAATTTTACTGCTTCCTGTGGATGCCAGCACTATTTGATAAGGTCATGTGACTAATCAACGAACAAATTAGTGTATGTCAACAAGGAGCTGGGCCCAGCCATTGAGATCAAGGACGAGTTAGGGCTTAAATTTTTCCTTCCTTCCTTCCTTCCTTCCTTCCTTCCTTCCTTCCTTCCTTCCTTCCTTCCTTCCTTCCTTCCTTCCTCCCTCCCTCCCTCCCTCCCTCCCTCCCTCCCTCCCTCCTTTCCTCCCTCCCTCCCTTTGTCCTTCCTCCCTCCCTCCCTCCCTCCCTCCCTTCCTTCCTTCCTTCCTTCCTTCCTTCCTTCCTTCTTTCCTTCCTTCCTTCCTTCCTTCCTGTTGTTTTCAAAGTTCTTCCTTCCTATTGCCATTCCTTCAAAGCTTCGTAAAGGTGGTTTTGCACTGTGCTTCCGCAAGCACAATGGCTCTCTTCTGCTTCTGAGCTAATAGCGCAATCGCTTCCTTGCGCCATCCCATTCTCTGACCTTCTCACTCTTGAGGCCTCCCTTGCATTCCTCCGAGCTTTGGACTGCAAGGAAGTAGGGTGCGGGAAGAGGACCGTCTTTCTTCAATCATGCTAAAGTCATGCTCTGGTATAAATCTGTGGATGCCGTTAGGGGCTCTCCCAGGGAGAGGGGTTAAAATCTTGTTCCCCAGCTCCTGTCCCATCACAAACTCTTTGTGTGAATGCTGCAAGCCAGAATGGGTGAGCAGAAGACGCTCCGGAGAGCCGGTGGACCAGTTGAGAGTTTCTTTGGGAAAATGTTACCTTTGTTTCAGAGACTTGGTGGGACTTGGCAACCTCTAGCGAAGCTGGAAGCTGTGAGCCGCTACTGGTTTCAGGTTGCCAAAGATCCCCTTTAGTTCTTGGCACGCGTAACAGGTTTATGTTGCATTGTCAAAGTGATCTGGGTGCTTTAGGTGAGCCAGGATTTAGCCACAACACGCCCGTGCCAACTTTACTGGATGAATATGAACATCTCCCCCCCCCCACACACACATCTTGTTTTGATTTCCACTTCAAGAAGGAAAGGCAAAAAAAGGGAAAAGAAAAGAAAAAAACAGCTTTGTGAAGACAGGGATCAGAGTAGGCAGGAACTCCTTGGGTGGTTTTGGGCCTGAGGTTCTGCTAGAGCCAATTTCAGGGCTGGTGCTGGAGGTCCAGGAATGGCTAGGTCAGGGGTAGGCAACCTTGGCGCTTTTATGACTGGTGGACTTCAACTCCCAGAATTCCTGAGCCAGCCATGCTGAGGGGAAAGGGAGAGGTTTCCAAGCTGAGCCAGGCTGGCTCGGGAATTCTGGGAGTTGGAGTCCACGAGTCATGAGGGGGCCATAGTTTCCCCATGTTGGCTCAGGAATTCTGGGAGTTGAAGTCCATCAGTCATAAAAGAGCCAAGGTTGCCTACCTCTGGCCTAGGCCGCTTTATGACTCGTGGACTTCAACTCCCAGAATTCCTGAGCCAGCCATGCTGAGGGGAAAGAGAGAGGTTTCCAAGCTGAGCCGTGCTGGCTGAGGGATTCTGGGAGTTGAAGTCCACCAGTCATAAAAGGGCTAAGTTTGAAGACCTCTGGTTTAAATATTTAGATATTTTTCCCTCACGGTCACATGATCAAAATTCAGGCATTTGAACGGGTAGGCATCCTTGGCTCTTTTATGACTCGTGGACTTCAACTCCCAGAATTCCTGAGCTAGCCATGCTGAGGGGAAAGGGAGACGTTTCCAAGCTGAGCCATTGTCAGACTCCAATTATATTTCATCTTTAAATTATCAAATATAGAAACTCCCAATTCTGCCTTCTCTGGATTCTGCCATAAGAGGGAGAGAAGGGGGAGAGCAAAGGGGCTTTATGGCCCTCACTTCCTTCTTTACACTTCAAAGAGCTGAATGCTGAATGTGTGTTTATTGTAACCTTGAAGTGTTAACATACCAAAGGAGGGAAGTTGCCTTTCATGTAGTTATCTGAAGTCTCCATCCAGACGGAAGAAAGAAGAAAGGGAGTGGAATTGTGATACTTGAAACTATCACTGGAAGGGGGGTTGATTGGGTGGGACTACTGGGGAACCCCTTAAAACCTTGAATGGGAGAGCTTGGACCCCAAGTCCTGTCTAGCATGCCTACAACCATTTTCTCTTAATAAAGGATTCCTGTTGGAAGAATTATTCCAAGAGTTCTGTCTTCTTAAGATGCAAAGTGGGGTGGGTCCTTACAGCCATGCTGGCTCAGGAATTCTGGGAGTTGATGTCCACCAGTCATAAAAGAGCCAAGGTTGCCTACCCCTGGGCTAGGTCAAGTAAATCTCCATAGTCGGCGTAAGCAGAGCATCCTACTAATGCAGACCGGCAAGATTTACCCAGACAGCCCCCTAGAACAGCCGGCTGGGCCCTGGGACCCAGGAACATGCACGTCCCTCTTCTTTGCTCTCTTTCACGTCTCTCTCACACGCTTCCAAGCGAATGGCTTCATGGAAAGCCAGAGAACGGCTCTGCATTGGCCGTTGGGAATCGGGAGCGGCTGGTCAAGGACTGCTCACGCTGGCCAGCTGGTTTTGCGGGATACACTTGGCCTGGTGGCCACTCGGACACGAACTTGGCATGGCATAGCTGCCTATGCAGATGCGTATCTGCAGTGGGCATGGGCTGGGCATCTCTGGGTTCCCTGCATCCCATCCCTGACTCTGCCTCTCTCTCTCGCAGCCATACCCCTCACTGCTTATGGACCAATGGCGGCAGCAGCAGCGGCGGCCGTGGTACGAGGGACAGGTAATTGCCTCATCCCAGAGGTCTCTGGGGACCTTTTCTGCAAGGCTGGGGGTGGGTGGGGAGGGGCAGGGTGCCATTGTAGCATCTCGACTGGCTAGTGTTGCTTCCTCCGGTAGGTTCCACCCCCAGCCGCACTGGCGGCTTCCTGGGCACCACCAGCCCCGGGCCGATGGCTGAGCTTTATGGAGCAGCCAATCAGGATTCAGGAGTCAGCAGTTACATCAGTGCGGCGAGTCCCGCCCCCAGCACCGGCTTCGGCCACAGCCTAGGGGTGAGTGCTGCAGGGGGCTCCACGGGCAGGGAACAGACGGGCGAGCCCGAGAGAAAGGGGCAGGAGCCAGACAGGAGGAAGCTCCCGGCCAGCTCCCGGTCCTGGGAGAGGGGTCTTTTGTTGGATCAGGGGCAGGTGCTGTGGACGACACGCAAAGAGTCCCGTGTTGAGGGCGTGTGAAGACCTGGCCAATGTTTGTAAGCCGAAGGAAGCTGGGTTTCTTTTGAGCCATTCCAGTTTTCTTGGTTGAGTCTCAACTCCATGTCTTCTGCGCTCAAGGAGCCCCGCTCAAATAAGAGTCTCTGGGCTTCACTTGTAAGGTATTGCTGAGCCTCACCTGGCCACCTCTGCAGGGCCCAAACCAACTGTCAGGGGGAGAGAGGGGGAGTGTAAGGACCCACCTCACTTTACATCTTAAGAATACAGAACTCTTTTTTTTTTATTTAAAAAGTTGTATTAAAAGTTACAAAATGAACTTATTTACCCTACTCCCTACCCCCATCCCCACCCCACTTCCCGGCGCCAAATACAGGGTATTTCAAACATATTAAACATAATCTAATTAAGTTAACAAATATATTAATCATAAGCTAAACAAGTTTAACAATTTGTACAACAATTAAAATCATACTTAACCCTTAACTCCCGTTAAACCTTAATAACATATTATAAACAAATCAATTTGTAAGCAATTATTATATAATAATAAAAAAATAATTAAAATATTATTAATAATACTTGTTTTTTAATCATAAAATAAGTGGAACTTTTCAGTTCCATATTTAATCTTAATAGAAGATTAAGAATACAGAACTCTTGGAATATCTTTTCCAACAGGCATCTTTATTAAGAGAAAATGATTGCAGGCGTGCTAGACAGGATCTGAGGAATTCTCTCCCACCCTTCAATGTTTTAAGTGTTTTCAAGCAGCCCCCCCACCCCACAGTTCTTCCGGGTGACGATCCTTCTCTCTTTTCCCAGACTCCAGGCGCTGCATTGTCCCCCCCCCCTTTTTCCTTACTACTGGCCAAAGGGAGACTTCAGAGAGGAGTAGATGAAAGGTGATGGCCATATTGTTATGGTCAGTCCTCTTGGTGAGAATCCACATTCAGTCCCTTTGAAGTTGTAATGAAGGACGTGAGAGCCATAAAACCCCTTTGCTCATCCCCCTACCCCTTCATAGTATAACAGAATCCAGAGAGGGCAGAAATGGGGTTTTCCATAGTCAATAACTAGAGATGAAATATAATTGGATTCTGACAGGGAGCCAAGCCAGCTAGAGAGTAACTTTACCTGATGCCGCAAGTCCTTTGTTGAATCATTGTAATGAATAGCATGCCATATTTTTTTTTTTTTTTTTGCAGGGGCCTTTGATTGCAACGGCATTTACTAACGGTTACCATTGAAGCTGAGGACCAAGAAAACAGATGGTAAGTGGGCTCTCTAGGGCAGGAGAAGAGGCTCAGCTTGACTGCGGTTGGGAAAAACTCCTGGGCCTGCCCTGGAACACTTTTGTCTCTCCTTTGGGAGATGTCACCTGGGGCAAAACATTGTGTACGCGAAACCCTCTGTCTTTGGAGCTTTCCCAGATGTGGAACATCTGAAAGGTGTCAAATCTGACACATTGCAAGGCTGCCGAATCCTTTTTTAAAAAAACAAAATCTTATGTAGAGTCTGGAAATGCAACTGGATTTTTGGATTTATGGCACTTCTTTAAACGTTGGGCGGTTATTCGGTTTTTCATATTTTGTGATTCTACTGCTTTTATAATCAATTACACAGAGTCCTTGGTGCTCTCTGAGCTTGATTGTGTGCTTGCATTGTTATTACACAACTACGTAACATTAGCCGTGGAGGGAGTGTGGGGTTTGCTCCCTGCTTATATACACCAAGATTGTCCTGCCAGTATTGGCTGGGCTATGGCTTTCTCCCTTGTTCTTCCTGGATTAGGGCATTGTTTCCTGCTTGATCGGTTGCCTGGTGTGAATCCCTGTGTTGGTTGCTGGAGAGGATGTGTTCTTTTTGCTTCATTTTTAGTTTTTTAATTGTCACGTTTGAATGGCGTGAAAATGTATTAATCTCTGTGTGTCTGTCGGTGACTGATTTGTCTGAGGGCCCAGCTTCCAAGCATTCACTTCCTTTTGCAGTTTTGCTTGGTCTTGTATGCTCACAGATGCCCAGTTGAAACTATGGTTGATCTGTCCATTGGTTGCGACTGTTAGTTGGTGTTTATGGTGTGCTCTGCCTGCCCTATATAGTGGTTGCTGCCCTACATCTTACATTGTAGGGTGTAGATGACTCTTGTTATTCCCAGACATTTTCCTAGAAGTACTAAGGCCCTGCAACAACTCAGAACAACAGACCACCTCCTTAACATTATCTAACAAAATGGATGCCCACACAATTATATCAAAAAGTGCCTACTCACTCAATCCACTAAAACACAACCAACACAAGCTATAGCAAGAGAAATAGCACTCAGATTTATATACCGCTTCACAGTGCTTTACAGCCCTCTCTAAGCAGTTTACAGAGTCAGCTTATTGTCCTCCCCCCCCCAACAATCTGGGTCCTGTCCTATTCTATTCTATTCTATTCTATTCTATTCTATTCTATTCTATTCTATTCTATTCTATTCTATTCTATTCTATTCTATTCTATTCTATTCTGATTTTATTCTATTCTATTCTGGTTCTATTCTATTCTGGTTCTATTCTATTCTAATTCTATTCTGATTCTATTCTATTCTTATTCTATTCTATTCTAATTCTAATTCTATTCTTATTCTATTCTATTCTGATTCTATTCTATTCTATTCTAATTCTATTCTGATTCTATTCTAATTCTATTCTAATTCTATTCTATTCTGATTCTATTCTGTTCTGCTCTGTTCTGTTCTGTTCTATTCTATTCATTATTATTCCATTCCATTCCATGAATAAAATGCTAAGAAGGGAACAAAAAGATCACAACAGATCCTCTCCAGCAGCCAATACCCAGAGAAGCAGGGATTAACACCAGACTAACAATCAAGCAGAAAACAATTCCCAATCAAAGAACTATGAAGGAGAAACCTCACCCCCTCCAGCTGGTGCATATAAACCAGAAGCCCCCAACCTTTTGGGCACCAGGGACCGGTTCCATGGAGAGAGGTTTTCCTGCGGACTGGAGGGTGCGTGGTTTTGTGTGCTGCCTGCATCCCACGGATGGAGCTTTGCTTGTTTATGCAGACCGGTTGCTTGCATGCTGTGGCCCGGTACCGTCCACGGACTGGGGTTGGGGACCCCTGATATAAACAGAGCAAGTGCCTAGTTGGTCATGAAATGACTGCAAGGAAACTGCCAAGCCCAGAAAGCACGAAGGACTCGGCAGTTTAACTCTGAGCTACATACATTCCCTTCTTTTGGCATGAATCAAATTTTAATTCATTCCACTTGCTTTAGAACAGTGGTTCTCAACCTTTTTAATGCCGCGACCCCCAACCGGTCGTAAGTCGAGGACTACTCAACTGGTGCAGCACCGTTTGCAGAATGGGACTTTTGGCGGGCTCAGCAGGGCAGAGACAGCCTGGACAATTCCTATTGGCTTTGAAAGCCAATAGAATTAGACTCTATTCAAGAGAGTCTATTCTATTGGCTTTCAAAAGCCAGTAGAATAAAAGGGAGTAGCACAGCTAAGGAAAAGGGGGAAAAAATGGCAGACTGCGTTGTTTGGCGACCCCCGTGAAATGGTTGTTCGACCCCAAATGGGGTCCCGACCCACAGGTTGAGAACCACTACTTTAGAATGTAAAACTGTGGCACTGGATTCTGTTTGCACTGGTCGAAATGGCCCAAAGTGACCGATGGAAGTTCACTAGCTGGACTTGCCTTCCTCTTGAACCAGTCAAATAAAGACCCCCTGCAGTTACGTTTGCTCACCCCACTCCCCTTTCTGGACTCCTTTGAGGGCAGAGCAACCTATAATTTAGCAAATAAGCCCATTGGGTACAGTGTATAGGTAATCCTCGGGTTAAAACCATAATGGAGCCTACCTATCATGGTCATAATCGTCATAAAAACCATCATATTTTTGTTGCAGCGTTCTTAAATGAATCGGCACAGTTATGAAGCAAACTAAAGGTTTTGCTACGGCTCTGATTTTCCTGAAAACCAGAAGTAAAATACCTGTTTTCAGCAAAAGTGTCGTAGAACAGTCACGCGACCGTGGGATGCCGCAAAGAGCCCTCTGTGACACCCGGTTGTGGAGTGCCAAAGTGATTGGGTGGGGCGACCGCCGGAGCTTTTAACCCTGTTTGCCGGTACCCCCTCCCTGGGTAGACCCACTGGACCCACAAACGGCCCCAAGTTGAGGGCTCCCTATATTATGCAAGCTAAGAAAAGAGGTGAATTCAGTTGAGGCTGCTGTGTGAGTGCAGTCAAACCAAAGCAGACTTTCGTATCTTGAGCAGCAGAGCGACAGGTGGAGTGCTCCTCTCCCACGGTGCAGGCGCCGGGGAATCGTCTCTTGTGGGACGTGGTTTCGTCACCGCCTGCGCCCCTGGAAGGAAGGTCGTTTGTTGTGCAAACATTAAAAGAGTGCTTCTCAACCTTGGCAACTTTAAGATGTGTGGAGTTCAACTCCCAGCATTCGTGGCAACTGGGGAGCTCTGGCAGTTGAATATGCCACGTTTGAGAAGCTCTGCACTAAAACAAGAAGATTAAATTTAACCCCAAACAGTTAAACGTAAGAGGAAGGCACTCGCACAGGTAAAGTGACATCTGAAATGGTAAAGTAAAGGGCAGGGGTCCACAATCCCTGGGCTACAGCCCACTACCGGTCCGTGGCGTATTTGGAACTGGGCCGTGCGAGCGGCGGGCAAGCCATGTACCGCTCGATTTTTGCAAGTGGTGGGCCAGCATGTGTGCACATGGGCACGGTACTCGAGTTGCATAAGTCGAGTTATGCATACACGTATCAGCCCACCGCTCACGCAGCCCAATTCCTCCCCGCTGCCCCCCCCCCACAGCCAGGCCACCAAGTCACAAAGGTTGGGGACCGCTGGTATAGGTTCTCCTGGTGGGGCAGGGGTTGGACTAGAAGACCTCCAAGGTCCCTTCCAGCTCTATTCTATTCTAAATTCTAAACTCCTGCCAGTCAGTCATAGTGTGGGGACCGCTTAGCTCAGCCAGTTGACCCTAACCATCCTTCAGAAAAAACAGCTGGAGAGAAAAGCAAAAACTTGAACAATGTAAGGTGCTTCTGTGCTGCAGAACCACAGTAGGAGGTTTCTGCTTTTCTGCTTTTCAAGCCACTTGCTGTAGGGGCCGAGCCACGTTTGCTGCTGCTGTGGGGGGAGGGTGGCAATCTCGTACAGAAGGAAGCCTCCCCATGGTGCAGTCTCAGCTGGAAGACCCCGAAGGGTGAATTCTTGAACCATTTACAGGCAGCCCTCATTAACAACCATTTGCAGCCGAGCTGAGTGGGTAGTGTGTATAACTGGTCCTCGAAGTGCCAGCCGAAACTGCGATCTGGGCACTTGGAAACCATCCCGGATTTCCAACTGTTGCAGCATCCCACGGTCACACAATTGCAATTTGCAGTTAGCGGTTTCTCACAAACAAAGCCAACGAGGAAGCTGACAGGCACATTCAGAAGCCATGATCCAGTGAGGTCCTTGCTGAGCTGCCCCGTGGTAGCCAGGAACGCCCAGGATTGCCGACCCTAAGCAACGTGATCACTTGGCGTTGTGCTTTACGACCACATCAATTGGTGGTGGAAATTTGGGCCCCAATGACCGTTAAGTGAGGACTCCCTGCAGTCTAATTCGGGGATCCCCAACCCCTGAGCTGCAGCCTACTATCGAGCGTTGAGCCGTTTGGAACCGGCCGTGGAAGTGGAGGGTGAACGCGTGCACGCTTGCCCACGACTCGCAGGGAACTGTCCCTTCTTCCCGCCCTCCCCGCCGGTCCACAAAGCCAGAAAGGTTGGGGAACTTTGGTCTAAGTCAGTGGTTCTCAACCTTTTTAATGCCGCGACCCCCCCCCAACTTGTCGTAAGTCGAGGACTACTCAACCGGTCGTAAGTCGAGGACTACTCAACTGGTGCAGCACCATTTGCAGAATGGGACTTTTGGCGGGCTCAGCAGGGCAGAGACAGCCTGGACAATTCCTATTGGCTTTTGAAAGCCAATAGAATTAGATTCTATTCAAGAGAGTCTATTCTACTGGCTTTCAAAAGCCAATAGAATAAAAGGGAGGAGCACAGCTAAGGAAAAGGGGAGAAAAAATGGCGGACTGCGTTGTTTGGCGACCCCCGTGAAATGGTCGTTCGACCCCAAATGGGGTCCCGACCCACAGGTTGAGAACCACTGGTCTAAGTGCACGCTGGCAAGGAGACCCAGCGTGCTGGGGGAGCCCGTTCAGGGGCACAGCGCAACGGGGTGATGCACCCCAGTAGGGCTTGCAGGGGGTTCTAGCAAGGTAAATCCCACCCCTGCTCTCCCCAGGGCTACCAGACTGGAGAAGACGGCCTCCCCCGAGTAAGAGTGGGTCCATACAATGGACAGCGAGATGGGCGGCATATAAATGGGAAAAGTAAACGGGCACGTGCCGCAGCCTTGGGGAGGATGGCAAATGGGACGATGGTCACCTGGACTGCTTTGCTTTCTTCTCTGCTTCCCGCAGATTCCCCAGTGAGCACCCCCAGGAGAGTGAGCTGGAGGACTCAGCAGACCCGGAGGGATGAGCCAAGGTTTCATTTTCATTCAAAAACTGCACACTTGTGGCTGTTAGCTGGGCTCCGGCCAGCCCCCCCCCCTCCCGCTGGCCAGAAAGCACTGGAGTGGGAGGCAAGGAGGTGCGCTCCTCCGTCTCCTCTGCTACTAACCACAGACCGTTTACACTTCTCCCAAGCCTCTGACCCACTGCTTCTACTTTTATTTATTTTCTTAGCCTGTTAGTTCTTGTTTTTTTTTTTTTTTTTATTTTGGGGAGGTTGGTGGGGTGGGGTGGGGTGGGTGGGCGAGATCAGCACTCTCATTTTCCTGGTTCTTTCGCTCTTTTTCGGAGCTGCCGAAGAACCGTTTATTTTATTTTATTTTTGGGGGTGACTGTGTGTAGGTAGTTTTTATCAAGGAATATTTTTATTTGGCTTTGAAAATCGTTTGTTTGTTTTAGATATATATATAAATATATTATATATATATATATATTGAGATGGGGAAAAATATGGACTCGGTCACAAAAAGAACCAAGTCTTTTTAAAGGACTGGTTGGTATACAACTAAAGCAATTTCCGAAGGGAAGAGAGAGAGAGCAGCTGAGAGGCTGAAGCATTTAATAGTTTATCTGTCTCTCTTTTTTAAACAAGGAATGTTTTTTTTTCTGTCAATGTGAGGCTTTTGAGACCTACAGAATTAACAGGATGTGAACACTCGGGGCATTGCTGTGGAACAAATACAAACTGTATATTTTGCTAAGTGAGAAAAAACACTATTCCTTATTTCTGATTTTTTTTTTCCTCCCTGGTTTTTAGATTTTAGGCTCCTATGAGTTTGTTATTACTGTATTTTCCCCTTGATCTTTTTGTATCATATGTAAATCGTGCAAGGCTCTCTTAGGCCTTGTCTTCACAACAGAGGAACCTTGGACCGTTGATTCTTTCTCTTTCTTTCTTTCTTTCTTTCTTTCTTTCTTTCTTTCTTTCTTTCTTTCTTTCTTTCTTTCTTTCTTTCTTTCTTTCTTTCTTTCTTTCTTTCTTTCTTTCTTTCTTTCCCTCTTTTGGGCTTTGAAGCCAACAATGTGAGCAATATTCTCTGTTTGGACCACGACAAACCTCCTTTCTTTTTATACCTTTTGCTGTAAGCTTTTATGACTTCTGATGAGATGGGGGTGGGGGTGGGAGGGCAGGGCAGGGCAGGGATGGGACGGGACGGGATGGGCAGGGGGAGGGACGGGAAGGACGGCGAGGTGGGCAAGAGACAGGGTGGGGAGGGCTGGGTGGGAGCCACGTAACCAGCAGGGCCTGTTAGGCTGAGCAAGATGCACCGCTCGTGTGGCCTGAGCCCACAAGAGCACTTTTGCCCGGCGGCTGGTCTCCGTTGATGCTTGGGCCCATGGACAACTCTCTCAATATTTGCCACTTTCTGCCAAGGGGGGGGGGTCATGGCTTGCAAGGGCCCTGGGGTGTCTGTGGGACAGGCATCTGCTCATATCTGGCAAAGGAGTCAAGGAGTGGAGCAGACCCAGACCGTCTCAGGGGTCTCGGAAGGAGAGGCAAAAGCCAGCCCCCCCCCCCCGGCACATTTTTTTCCTTTTTTGCAGCCATGTGCAGCTGCCACATCAGCTGTTTGAGCTTCAACATATCAGGAGATCGATGTTCCAGTGCCTGGGGAGAGGACCTCTCTCCAGAAAAGAGAACCATTTATTTTCCCATAACACAGTGTTTCTCAACCTTGACCATTTTAAGGCATGTGGACTTCAACTCCCAGAATTCCACAGCCAGCATTGCTGGCTGTGGAATTCTGGGAGTTGAAGTCCACATGCCTTAAAATGGTCAAGGTTGAGAAACACTGCAACACATCCCCTGTCTTTTCCATTCCAGGCCTTGCTTCCTCGCCCCCCCCCCGTGTCATTTGAGGCTGTTGCCCCAGAGAAGCCGGGGGAGGGGAGGGTCTGCCCTTTCTTTGCAGTGCATTCGCATGGCATCCTTTGCCAGGGGTGGATGGAGGGAACAGGGTGTCCTCAGTCTTTGGGGGAGGGTCTTTTGCTATTCAGGTTCAGGGTCTCCCCTGAAGCTCAGTTTAGAACCCAAACATGTTTGGGTTTTATATTTGCCAAGAGTTTTACAATTGTGCGGATACAAAAATGAAACGAATAAATAGATTGTCTCCAGGTGCCGCAAGAGGGATCTGCTATCCCAGGGGTAGGCAACCTTGGCTCTTTTATGACTGGTGGACTTCAACTCCCAGAATTCCTGAGCCAGCATGGCTCGATGTCAGAATCCAATTATATTTCATCTTTAATTATCAAACATAGAAACTCCCAATTCTGCCTTCTCTGGATTCTGCCATAAGAGGGAGAAAAGGGGGAGAGCAAAGGGGCTTTATGGCCCTCACTTCCTTCAGCACACTTCAAAGGACTGAATGTGTGTTTATTGTGGCCTCTAAGCTTTAACATATCAAAGAAGAGTAATTGCCTTTCATGTAGTGATCTGAAGTCTCCATCCAGACGGAAGAAGAAAGGGGATGGAATTGTGATACTTGAAACTATCACTGGAAGGGGTGTTGATTGGGTGGGACTACTGGGGAACCCCTTAAAACCTTGAATGGGAGAGCTTGAACCCCAAGTCCTGTCTAGCATGCCTGCAACCATTTTCTCTTAATAAAGGATTCCTGTTGGAAGAGCTATTCCAAGAGTTCTGTCTTCTTAAGATGCAAAGTGGGGTGGGTCCTTACATTAGACAGGACTTGCAAAATTAATCCACCTGGAAGGTAGACCCTTGACGGGGGATTTTGCAAAAATTTACCATGTCAGACAACGAAGCAAGAGAGGGAGAAAACTCCCTGGAAAGAGAGCCGCTGACCCAGTTGGAACCTTGCCAGATGTTGGGATCCGAGAGGCCAGATTTCTCAGAAGAAGAAATGGTGGAGACACAGGACCACAAGCCTAGCTGGTCGATGGGCGTTGGAAAGAAAAGCGAGTGGGGAAAGGAATCAAGAAAAGTGACCCTGAGACGGGGGACCAAGCAACCAGAATGGAAGAAGGAGATGGAGAAATCCCTGCACGCAAGTGAAGAGGGAGGAAGCTGTATGCCGTACTCAGACTGGATCCTAGAGAGAGCTATTGACCTGATGAAGAGAACTCT